ATAGATTAAAAGATGGCGGAAAAAATTCGTTCGAAATCGTAAAGTGATCATTCAACGAACGGGGATATTCGCAGCTTGGAGATATTGCATTATTTTCCACAACGACGATCGTATCGCATCGCGCGCGTAAATGAGAAAGGAGGGAGGGAGAAGCGAGCGCAGCGCCACGGTCGGCCTGTCTCGGTACTCTCGGGGATAAAGGAAGGGCAGGGAGAAGGCGTAAGGTCGTACGGCGGAGAGAGGGGAGAGAGTAGTGAGTTCGTGCGAGGGTGTGCGGATCGTGTCAACGATACCGTGGATTTACGACGGTCACCGAGCGAATCCATTTGTTTCATCTGCATCTGCTTAGCACGCTAATGCTGCCCTCCTCCTCCTCCCCCCCCTCCCCGTACGTGTACGATGGGGTTCCGTTGCGCGGCCGGCGACAGACCTCCAAGATTAAGGCGGACCTTATGGGGAAAGGTTGAGAAGAATGACGTGTGATTTTTGCACGAAAGGGATCGAAGGGTTTTTCCAAATCGACGCGGATTCGACGAGGGGAGTTTTTGGAGGTTTTTAACATTGGAATTCATCGGTTTTGAATCATCTTAATGGATGATCGTACGGATTAATTTCTTTGGATTATTCGCAATTAATAATGCTTCGAATACTTTTGGTAAGTGGTATAACTCGAATCTCCAACTTCCAAATGCAAAGATCCACGCTACGTTGTGATACTCGTAATCATTGTTTCCAATTATTTTTCGTAATTCTGTAATTTCTATAATGCAAAAATCGTATATCGACGTAATCCATTTGTAATCCATTTTTCTCAATCAATATTTAATTATTTTCCATTATAATTCGTCATAACTCCACGCCAATACATTCTTCCCAATTGATATTTCCATATTTTTCCATTAATCCATCAATTTCTAAATACAAAAATCCACACAATGTAATACAACATTGTAATACAACATTCTTTCCACAACTTCACTTTCCAAATCCAAAAATCCCCACTAATACTCGTCCTCGTTTTCCTCAATCCATATTTCCATATACAACTCGCCATAGAAGAATAACTCGAATTAAAACTCAAAAATCCACGCTAACAACCATTTTCCCCGATCCATATTTCCATATAATACTTTTCCATGTAACAACTCCCCGATATTAATAGAATCCAAAACTCTAAACTCTTTCCCCTTCCAAATATCATTGGCCAGACAGAATCAAAGATTGTTGCGACTCACGCTCATCCGAGGTA